CGCGATCGTGAAGCACAGTTCCACAGGCCTACGCGATCGCGGACTCATTCACACGATCGCGAAGCATTAAGCGTGTGGCCCCCGGCTGCCTTATTTTCCTCTACGCGAACGCGACACGCCTCACGCGTTCGCGATGCACTGGCGTCCAAAGCTACGCGATCGCAGCCTTCTTCACGCGATCGTGAAGAACAAATTTCCCCACTGCCCAGCTAAGCCTACGCAATCGCGAACCTTCTCACACGATCGTGTAGAAGGAAACCAGACAGTGCATTAGAAAAATTCCAACAGAGTTCAAAGTCCAAAATTCAATCCGTTAATCATCCGAAACTCACCCGAGTCCTCCGGGACCTCAACCAAATACATCAACAATTCCTAAAAACATCGTACGAACTTAGTCGAAGCCTCAAATCACATCAAACAATGCTAAAACCACGAATCATACCCCAATTCATGCCTAATGAAACTAAGAAATTCCAACTTCTACATTCGATGCTGAAACCTATCAAATCAAGTCTGATTGACCTCAAAGTTTGCACACAAGTCATAAATGACATAACAGACCTATTCACATTTTCATAATCGAATTTCAACCCCGATATCAAAAAGTCAACTCCCCGGTCAAACTTCCAAGCTTGAATTTCTATTTTAGCCATTTCAAGCCTAATTTAACTGCGAACTTTTAATTAACAATCCGGACATGATCCTAAGTCCAAAATCACCATACGGAGCTATTGGAATCATCAAAATTTTATTCTGAGGTTGTTTTCACATAAGTCAACATTCGATCAACCTTTTCAACTTAAGTTTTCAACCTTGAGACTAAGTGTCTCAATTCATTTCAAAACCTCACCGGACCTGAACTAACTACCCTGGCAAGTCATATAACAGCTATAAAGTATAAAATATGCAGTAAATAGGAAAACGAGGCTACAACTTTCAAAACGACCGGTCGGGTCGTTATTGATCTCCAACACAGATTGGCAACAGTAGACATAATACAAAAGTGGGGAATACAAGTGCAAAGTGAGTGTGTGTTATGCTCAACAGATACAGAGGAAACACTCAATCACCTGTTCTTTGAATGCAGCTACTCAAAGACTATATGGCAGAAACTACTTCAATGGATAGGAATGCAGAGGCAAGTGAGATCATGGAATGAGGAACTAGTTTGGCTGGCAAACATAACAAGAAGCAAGCATCCAAGGGAAGCCATCCTGTCCTTCATATTTGCAGCCACAATCTACCATGTTTGGATGGAAATAAATAGTAGAAGATTTCAACAACTGAAGAGAACAAGTATAGACAGACTGAAAGAAATAGCCCTACAATTGCATATTGTTGGACAAAGATACTCCAAATGGTAGAATGAACTAGATAGATTAAGAGGCTATCCAGACTAGGAGCTACCAGATATCCTTGCTTGTACAACTGATACCCTTCCTAAAAGGTGAGCAGTTATAGAGCTTGAAATTGGTATTAGCTAGTATGTAAGAGTTTCATAGTTATTTTTTGTATGATCCTGTCTCTAGAGTCCAATGAGCATGTGTGCTTGTAAATAATTATACTTGGTTGAATAAATTTTTCTATTTAACCAAAAACAAATTATGATTAATATCTGAATTGAGTGCGGTTAATTTAAGTTTGAACGCATAACATAATATTTTGAAAATGCGGTCTAATTTAGAAAATAGAAAGAATTATTTGAATTTGAGATGAGATTTATTTTTTGAAATATGATAAGAAAAATCATATTTTGGAATATGAACAATAAAGTCAAAATTACTCTTGAAATAATTTTTTTTATTTTTTATCTAAATTATATTGAGTGTGGTAGAAATAGATATTAAATTTAAACAAGCTAATGAAAAGCCACATTAAAATGTAATAATATTAGGTATTAAATAATATATTAGTCAAAATAATGAATAAATAGAGAAAAAATAAAGAATTCATATTTTTTATCATAGAGAAAAAAGGGTAAAACTTATTTATATTTGAGATGAGAAAGTTTTATATATTATGATAAGAAAGGTCATAATATGGATGAGTCCATGTCACTAGTTCTAATAGATAAAATCAAAAACTAAAAATATTTAATAATAAAAAATAAATTATTGATAATGTGAGGATACTTATAAATCATAAGTTTAGAAAATAAAATAAAGTAAATATACAATACTTAAAATATTATTAACAAATTTAAATAATTTAAAAAAACTGAGCAATATTTTTAAAACAAAAAAATATATTTATTTTATGATTAAAAAATTATATATTTATCTATATTATACTAGATAATAGTAGTTAATAATAATATAAAATAAAATTACAAGTTAATAAAAAGCCACATAAAATGTAATAAGACTACATATTAGATTAAAATAGCAAAATTAAAGAAAATTATTAAAAATTTACTATTAGAAATGAAAGGAAAAGACTATTTAAATTTGATATTAAAAATTTCTTAAAATTATGATGAGAATGCTCAAACTATTGATAATACCACGAAATTGAAGGCTTATTTAGGGAAAATAAAAACAAATGATAAAAAATAAAATTTTAAAATACAAAATAAATTTCTAATATAGGTAATTCTATTAATGAAAATTAAAAATTAAATTTGTATCTTAAAACTAAAAATGAAAGAAAATTTACGTAAAGAAACAAAATGACAGTGAAAATACTACTACAATATTTAGATATAACGTGTTCAAACAATTAAGAAAATATATTTTTATGATTAATATCTGAATTTAGTGCAGTTAATTTAAGTTTGAAAGCATAACATAATTTTTTGAAACTACAGTCCACTTTAGAAAATAGAATGATAATAATTCTTTGAATTTGAGATGAGATTTTTTTATTTCATATTGTTTTATTATTTTTGAAAATATTACGTAAAGAAATAAAATGACAGTGATAATATTAATACAATATTTAGATATAATGTGTTCAAACAATTAAGAAAATATTTTTCTATGATTAAAATAAAATTAAAAAACTAAATAAATTTTTAATGTAGGTAATTTTACTAATAAAAATTAAAAATTAAATTTGTATCTTAAAACTAAAAAAGAAAGAAAATTTAACTGCATCTAATACAAAAATAATTATAAGAAAACTCAATACATTTGGAACATAATAATCAAAGAACTTATGTATTAATAATTTAGACTAATTCAAAGTTACAATTTAAAATAAAATGTGATATTATTTTGGTTGTAGGTAAAACATTAATATAAAAACTAATTAAAATCGCGCGCAAGCTCGCCCCCTTATGTTATGGAAGAATTGAGTTTATTGCTGGGCTGGTTATTCAGAGCCAGCAATTGACTGTCGAATTTCATCCCGCAGCCAGAAGAAGATCGCTTCGGGGTCACTGTGGTGTGGCTGAATAAAGGGAAGAGAATGTATAAAAAAAAATAAAGGTAGTGTGAAGATACTTATAGTTTAAATTAATTTAAAATAAATAAATTAAATAATTAAATTATATTTAAAAATATTACTGATAGATTTAAATGATTAAAAATCTGAATAAGAGGATACAAACATAAAAATATATTAAATTTTAAGAATAAAAAATGTGTATTTATTAAAGACTATTAAAAGGATAATAAGCAAGACATTAAGTTAATTATTAAGCTAATAAAAGATTATATGATAGTATAATAATGTTAAATAATAAATAATACAATAACGGTAAGTAAAGAACAAAAAGAAAAAGAATTTGCTTTAAAGTGATGTGATGAATAAGACATATTTGACTTTTAGATAAAAAGAGAGTGATAGTAAGAATTTTGTTAAAATAATATTATCTAATATTCTCAAACAAGACAGATCACAATATGACATGTTTAGTATTCTATAATATTGATAGTGAAACGAAATGCAAGTACTAAAGTCAAGGGGTTAAGTTGCTACAAATAAAATAAAAAATATGTTGTCTACTACGAAATTTGAATAATAATTTCATATCTTATTTTTTAATTAATATCTAATGATTATATAATTTTTATATGAGAGGATTATATTTTAAGGTTATTTACACATGATTTAAACAACCTACGTCATAATTTGATATTTTTTGTGTAAAAAGGAATATCATAGGTAGCTTCTATTAAGTTTGGTAGGGATGTATGAGAGTCATCCGAATCCGATTGGTTAGCTCCATGATTATCATCAATCAACTATTAAATGGAAAACACAATGGATAAGACTCGAAATTAGGTGAAGTCGATCGCCATTTAGAATTCTTTTATCCAATGTACTCTCTCTATTGCATTTTATTTATACGGCGGTATTTGGTTAGACATAAAATTTAAAAAATAAAAAATGTCTTTTGGCACATATCAATTATAAACACCAGGAATTGTGATTTTAAATATTTCATGATATTTTACTGCTATAAGATCATGTCTTTAAGAATAAGGTAGAACTATTATTTTCTCATAATAACATGACTTGTTGGAATTAGTCACCACCCACTCGTCTAAAATGAAAAGACATATAAAACGGTCACAGCCTACTACTCATTTAAAAGGATATTGTGGGTCAATGACGAAGTCCGAAAATTTCTTAACTGTATTCAAACTTGAAAGAAGTAAAAAAAAATTCTAACAAAATATGTTCAATATATATTATACACCTTTAAAATTTAATATTTTACATATATACGCAATATAATTTTCCGACAGGACAATCAATTGACCAACCTTATTAGAGCGTAGCTTCTCTCCTCTTGTACGTACTTTTCAAATAGTACATATCACAAGTCTTCTTCAATTCTTAAACTTAGTACCTATTAAATACTGTCATACAAAATAAGAAGAATGAAGTTTTTTCTTATAATAGAGTAGAAAGAGAAGATTACCGTATCAAAGAGAGAGGTGTATTCTAAACTTCTCCTATAAAATAAATAAAACAACAAATAAAATAAAGTCTTTTTTAACCAAAGAAAAGGTCGAAACCAGCACTATATAAAGAAGTTAAAAGTCTTATATCAAGTCCCTTCTTTGATCAAAAAGTATAGGGACCTAAAAAATAATAACAATACCATATATCTTCTTATCTTTCTCAATCATTATCCTATTTAGTAATTAATCATTTCCAATTAATGGCAATGAGAAAGAGCTACCTCTTTCTAGGAGGAAAAGAAAGGATTAGTCCTATGCCTTGTAGTGCTAGTACTCTACAATTCGAGTTTGATGAATCTGATATATGGTGTAATTCTAATAATCCAGACGAAATTCTTCCTCAAAAATCAATACCTAATTCACGTTTCTTGAAAAAATCAGCAAAGAAAAGTGGAGGGAGGGCAATATCTTCAGCAGCAGCAACAACATCATTGCCGGTGAACATACCGGATTGGTCGAAAATCCTAGGTAATGATTACAAGAATAATTGTCTAAGAGAGAGAAACGACGACGATGACGATGACGTGGATTGTAGAATTCCACCTCATGAATTATTGGCAAGGACAAGAGTGGCTTCATTTTCAGTACAAGAAGGTATGGGGAGGACTCTTAAAGGAAGAGACTTGAGTAGGGTGAGGAATGCTATTTGGAAGCAAACTGGTTTTGAAGATTAATTAACTACTTAATTAGCTCTTCTTTTTTTTGTAAGTTTTTTTTTTTTAGCTATGACTTCAATCAGAGGATCATGACTTACAATAAGTTCGTGTTATTCTCAAATCCTCATTTTGTTGATATCCTCTTTCCTTAAATTATGTAGAATCATCGGATTTTTGTTATCAAGAGGATCAGTTTTTAGTTTCTTACTTTTTAATATAGTTTCGGAATATAAAATTGTCACCAAATGATTTTGCGTTTTCTTGATAACTACTCCTTGTGTTGTACTTTTTTGTAATTTGTAAATATGTAAATTTTATGTTAGAATTACATTTATAATTGAGTTGTCTTGTCGATCTAACCTTACTCCAAACCTGGCCGTTACATAAATATTATTGTTACCATCTCTCATTCTCTTCTTTTCGTTAATTTACTTATGATCACGATCCTGTTCATCCCCCCTCCGGGACCTCATGAGAAGAAGAGCGAATAACTAACTGAAATGGAATTGGAAATTTCATATTTCTAATTGAAAAATGCATGCAGCAAGATCTTCTTTTAATTATTACTCCTAATATTTACTTTTCTTGTTTAGAATATAAAAGTTATACTTCTCTTTAGTAAGTAGTAGAGAAAACGAAATGGAAAATTCCAAAAAAGTTGTAAGAAATAAGAAAAAAGAGGTTAACATATGGATTGTTGTTTCTTGTTGCAGTTATGCTCAAAAAGAACAAAGAAGTCAAGAGGAGAGAGGAAATGGAGAAATATGTTAATTAAGTACAAGAGAGAGAGAGAGATGAGGACGTTTAGACTTTTGGGTAGTATCTAATGGTAGGTAAGAAAGCAACAGATTAGCTTAGACAATACTTCGAAGCTAAAACCACACGCTATCGCTAACTAACAAATCTGTCCCTCTTTCACTCCTTGAACTTACTTATCCTCTAGTAAAAGAAGAGGAAAAAAAAAACTGTTCTTGTTTATTGCGGTATAGAATATTTTCTTCGCTAGGATTTTGTATTTGCATAGCAAATAAAGTAATGTATACCAAAAAATTGAACTTTTTTGTGTTGTAGTCTGATTTCAACAGGACGAAGTCATATTCGAAACGATTAAGAAGAACATCGATCTGTTCTTTTCATATCCCTCATCTTGATTTTGAACCATATATAATGTTAATTCTCTACAGCTCCAGTAAAACAAAAAAAATAACTTGAGAACCCTACACTCTCCAGTATCGAAAATCGTTTCCAATTTTTTCAATGAGCAGTTATGGCTACATATAAAACACTGAATTTGTTAAAAATCTGACGCTAAGATGATAGATTAATCAGCTAGAGGCTTTACCAGCAGTCTTGGCACATAACTCAACACAACTTCTAGAAATAGTCACCCAAGCTTGAAGATCTATTAAACCCTTGAAAAACGATATCGGGCCTAAATCTTGAAATGGTACTTCTACATTAACTTTGTCAACAAAGAGGTTATTCCTCCCGAAAATGTCAAACTAAAATGCACTGATTTACAAATAAGAAGAGTTAAGGTGGCCTGACTGCAAAACGAGAGCACTGCAGCCAACTATCGAGAAGCTAGAGACCAAAAATTCATGAAAAAGGATGGTGATGCAGCAAACCAGCTTAAAAATGCCATTGCTGTAGCTGACATAAATCTTGTGCAGTGGTTCACTTTGCATTTGTCAAGATCATTGCTAATAAGGACTGTAATTCCAGCCGATGCACAGGCAGCCGCAAATGTAAGAGTTGAAGTGATCTGCACGACAGTGGAATCATGAACCACAGTGATGATCACATATTAAAAGAATAATTCTACAAGTGGCCGATCAAAATTCAGTAGATCGTGAACGATGTGATCAACATTCCTTATAATAAATGTATACAAACATTATGCTTACAGTTGGATGAAGAGTAGAAGTGATGATCACATAAGATCATTCCACATGTGCCCCACTAGAACTCAATAGAATGCAAATAATTAGTTTAAACAGTCCTCCTTTTAAAAATACGCATATTGGCTTATATACCCAGCTCAAAGATCTCGGAAAAAAACATAATCAAGGGTTTGGAGAAGAACTGACCATTCAATCTTGTGAACTATACAATATGTTAGCAGTTATGATGTATCCAAAAACAGACCACATAAAAGATGATCTACGTACTTCTCCCAACCAAATAACTACTACACCTCAAGCCCAAAGTAGTTGTAAAAATTGTACTCCATAGATTCCACTCTATATTCAGATCCATTCATTCCAGTGCTGGAAAGTAGTACTTCATCTTTTAAAGCACATTAAGGTTTTTCCAAAACTAGATATTCTCAAAATCTCATACTTATCCCTACCCAAACCTAATATAAGCGTAACAACTATACCTAAGTGCCAACTAGTTGGATTAACTATATGAATATTTTGCATCAATTCCACAATGACTCCTAAAGAAGGAAAGTCTTTCGAGATAATTTCCATGTATGAGATTTCAGATCTACCTCATTAGTCATTCCTTTCTACCATCTTTAATCACCATGCTGAAAGACTGAATATGGTGGTCTATGTGGAAAATGATTTTAAAAAAAAAAATCTTTCAATTTTTATCCTGTGTATGCTACTTCAATACTCAGACACGATCATTTCTAATCTTGTTGGCGCATGCTAAGGAGCTGCGTAAAATTATCCTCATACAAGTCAAATTATAGTATAGAAAAAATTACCGTCCTCGGGATTGGTTTCGCCAATAAACAAATTAATTTTGCTTGATTACTATTTGAAAATTTGTACTAGGTCGTCCTTAGGGATTGGTTTCTCCAATGAACAAATTAATATTGCTTGATTACTATTTGAGAATTTGTAATAGGTGTGAGAATTGGTTTTGACAATTAAACTTAATAAAAGTCAAAGAAAGGAAGGTATACTAAGTTAGGATTGGTTCAGTTATATAAAGGTCAGAAATCTTGACTTGACTTGATTAACTTAAGATAATCAATAAATTTTACCTCTAAGCAATTTTGTTTACAAGTTAGCATGTTTCTCGTGAATACACTCTTCTACCATAGAACGTCTAATTAGAATAACCCTTTTCGGTTGTGCAATTAATTATAATTCTATGATTCATTAAGTATAACTTGAGCATGTGATTCATTCAATAAAACTGCAACCTCACTCGATTATCTTAACCAACACATACAGTACCAAAAACTCTTATATCAGTTGAGATTAGGACTTGTATTAAAACAACTATGAATAGATACATAAAATTTAGAAACTAGATCTCCTCTTTCAATTAAGATTTAGTACAAACCCATCAACAAGAACCTTTTAATGCAACACCAAAAGAAGGCCAAGGGCACTTCACCGACCTCAATAAATGCTTTGAATGATAAACATGGCATTAATGCAGGAATCACAGATAGGTTAGAACAGAGTAGCCAAAAGGTCAAAAAGGCGAAAATTGCAGAAAAGCGCCTATGTTGGGGATTTAAGCGCAATTAAAGCGTGAGCTTTAGCGGGAAAAAAAAAAAGCGTCAATGAATAAAAGGCAAAAACCAGAAATATAATCCAAGAAAATGTAACTATATACCCAAAAAATCAAAAGGATGGAAGAATTATAACTATATACATGCAGTTAAAATCATGTCAACCAAGTTCAAAGACCATCTTAAAGTTCTAATATAGATGAAAAAATGTAGTTTTAGGTTTTTAGTGCTAGCTATCTTATACTTAAATTCAAATTTTCTTTATCTTAATCACTAATAATTCATCTTTCTTAAGCCGAGGGTTTATTGGAAGCAGTCTCTCTACCTCCCCAGGGTAGGGGTAAGGTCTGTGTACACACTACCCTCCCTAGACCCCACATGTGGGACTCCACTGGGTTTTTTGTTGTTGTTGTAATCACTATTAATTCAGTATGAAATTTTCTTAACAACTAATGTATCACTTTGTGAACTATATATGATGTCTCGCGTTGTGCTCTTAATGATTGAGCCCATCGGTAAAATCTGCACAGCTTAGCACCGTGATGGCTACACTAAAGCACTAACTAAGCGAGGCGAAGCGTCCACTTGGGCTTCAGGGTTTAAGTGTGCTTTAAGCGAGCTTCAGGCTTTAGAATAGGAAAGATTACACTTAAATTAATAAATCACGATCCATCAACAAAGTCTACTCCATCATGGATTTCAAATTCCCAAAGATACAAACAAGCTTAAAACAAATCATAACTGAAACAAAGACTGAAAGGTAGAAGGAGTTTCACAATTTTGTCTCTACTCCTTAAAATAGCTTGAACTTGGGATAAAACTTGGTGAAAGTCTCCTAAGCTTGAGCCTAATTCTCTAGGGCAAAAGCCCCTACCAAAAAGTGAAACTTTTCAATTTTTACCCCTCGGAAATTGCACTAGAAATGATATGTACAGCTGAAAAATCTCCTTCACGAGGCGCTGCAGCTAAGTCTAAGACTGAAAGCTTAAGAATTTTGGCTCCTAGTTGCAGTACCAGATCCTAGTCACGACAGTGCCTAGCGATGCCTTTGCATTCTGCGTAAAAGTTCCCATTTTCTTCACAAAGTTCTCTAATTACAGTCGTGGAGAAGTGTGTGCTGAGCCTGAAATCTTCATCTTCTTCACTTCCTTCCAAGTTTTATTCTTGGCTCTCAAATGACTAAATTAATTTTCGGCAAAGGGCCAAATATACCCCTCTACTTTCGAAAATGGTCTAAGAATACCCCTCGTTATACTATTGGGTTATCTATACCCCTGCAGTCATACTTTGGGTTCAAATATACCCCTCATTTAAACGGAGGAACACGTGTCATCGTCCTGTTGGTCAATTCTAAATATCTCCTAATTAATTAAAAAGACCAATTATCCATACCCGAAAAATAATTTTTTTTTTTGTAAAAACTGGAAAAAACTAAAAAACAATTTTACTAAAAAATGAAAAAACGAAAATATTTTTTTTTCCAGTTTTGACAAAAAAAGCTGCTTTAGAAAAAACTGAAAAATATTTTCTAAAACAATATTTTTGTAAAAACTGAAAGAAAAAAAAATAAAGCTGAAAATCAATTTTCTAAAGCAATTTTTTTTGTAAAAACTGAAAAAAACTGAATTTTTTTTTACTAAAAACGGAAAAAAACGAAATTATTTTTTTCCCACTTTTTACAAAAAAACTGCTTTAAAAAAAGCTGAAAAATATTTTCTAAAACAAT